TGGGAAAGAAAATTTTTAGCATCCTGCCGAAATATAAGGTCAGATCATAATATAATGTCGTAAAGAAATTATAAAGCTTTTCTGAATCGCACCTACAAAATTTATCGCCTCCTTTCAAAGTTCCAAGTTCATAAAGAAATCCAATTTGATAAACAATAACATCTCCTTTTCTTACTATGCCTTCGATTTGGTAAAATCTTAGTCAACTTGTTGACAAGGATCGATATTTTATAGCATTCATTTACCCACCAAAACAAATTAAATAATTTATCACTACCTTGAGAATTTTTTCCATCCAATCATCAGTTACACCCGGTGATATTCCCCCAATGAAAAGAGTTGTCAATTTTTCTACTTCTGGACCTGGAGTCGACATTGGTGGTGCGCTGCCCATGGGCATACCATGGCCATGAGTAAAATTTTGTCTAGGGCCCATATAACCTGATCGCTGCGATGGACCTCCAGGAGCATAGCCACCTCGTGTAGTGTGTCCATAAGAAGGAGGACCTCCCGGTGGAACATAAGGTGGTCGTTCATAAGTTGGGGCACGATACGGAGCTACAGTAAGTAAATCTTCAAGTAAGTTATCATAAAAATTTCATATAATTAATATAACTAATAAAAAAGCATTTGTGAACTCAAAATCTTACCATAATGACCTGGGCGATAAGGATCCATAGTTATATTTTGTAAATAACTTTTCTTAAAAACTCAATAGCAGTATCAAGTCACTATAATTTACCAAAAGATCTATATAAACCCTGAACTAATAAATGTGTCAAGATCTGAATCTACTTGTTGAAAACGTTTATTTAGGATCCAAAGGCCAGGTAAATGAACCATGTACTACTACGTACTATAGTGCGTTGTCGATCATTACTGTATAAGTGATATATGTTGCAAAAATACAAATCATTAATGAAACGCAATTTCTTGGTCCTGAAAAAAACAGAAATTCACAATGCCGTAGATGGCCATTGAAAACTAGAGAGTATATCCCATGGAAATATTTATATGAAGAAATGGTGGTATACTCTTCGAGTTGTATTCCATTCCATACCTCCTTCACAAGTTGATCAAAACTTTACAAAAAACAAAATACTTTATACGACTTTCATTACTTAGAAATGTTTAGCAAGTTTCAAAGTTTTCTTAGTTTCCTACACAGGAATGATATATTTAAATAGTTATAACATATCCATTCATTTCACTTTTATTTTACATATGTATATTTAATCATACAATTAATTAATGCATTTAATTTATTCTTATTTATTTACATAATCAAAATTCTTTAATGGCAGGGCAAAGATAGATTATCAAATTTAATTTAACGCTTGACCCTAGAAAATCATAAATAAATATCAGTTAGTTGCATTCTACATGAATCCTATAGGCAGAGAGAAAGAAAGAGAAACATTAAATGTACCATGTGTATCTCTTTCTTGCCTTCGCAAGACCGGGTTTCTTACGCTCGACCACGCGAGTATCACGCGTAACAAGTTTAGCTGAAAAGAGGGTGTATTATTGGTACGCGCAAAAGATGTCTCATAAAAAAAAAAAAGGAGAAAAAAGTTTCATCATACCTTCTCTTAGGATTGGTTTGAGATCAGAATTGTGTATGATCAACGCCTTAGTGATTCCATGAGCAATTGCACCTGCTTGACCTTTATGAAGAAAGTAAACCTAACTGATCATGAACGAATTCGATGCATATCAAATTTTTAACAAAAGATTAAAAAAAAAATGTATTACCCGTTGGGCCACCTCCTTTGACTTTTGTCCAAACATTATATTTTCCAAGCAAGCCAGTCACTTGGAACGGATATAATATCGATTCACGATCTTTTAAGAGAGGAAAATAATCTGCTACTGGGATGCCATTAACAAGTACATGTCCATCCCCTTCTACCACCCAAACTTGAGCGGTTGCCTCCTTTCTCCTGCCTATCGCCAAAGCTCTTCCATAAGGATCAACAGTTTTCATCGCCTCTATATCCTTTTTCTCTTTTTCTGGATCATAACGTCTAAATAAATCTAAAAAGTTATGTAATTCGGGGGCAAATTCGAACATGATTTTGTCTAACCGATGTAACTTTCGTGTGATGAGTCGATATTGATTTGTTTTTAAACGTAAACCTAATTTTTCATCCAAATGTTGTTTCAAAATCCACAAAGTCGGTGGTGCATTTTTGTCAATTAATTTAGTGGGCGTCGTTCTATGTTTATGTAAAAGGTCATCAAGTTGTATAATAAAGTCATTATAAGTTGGTTTGGCTGTAAAGTATGAAATTGATGCTGGTCGTTCAACTTTTGAAAAATTATCAATTGATTCATGTTTGCTCAAGCGAATGTTTTGTTGCGTTTTGCCAGTAGAGAAACTTCGGAGAATTACGAAAGAAAATATGAGATTGGGGTTACTGCTATATGACTTGAAAGTTGTTGTCCGTGAGCATTGACTCTTTAAATTATTTCCCAAAACCCTCCCTATATTATAAGCGAATCGTAGTTTGGACATTATTGGGTAAAGTTTGGCGAACGAAAATCAAATGAAATTTTTTAAGATTTTGTATCACAGATTTTGTGCAACCAATAATCCGCAAATCGGTGATTGAAAAAAAAAAAATTTTTTTTTTTTTTTCTGAACAGAAAATTTCAACAAATAATTTGATGTCCGATAATACGAATATAATTGCTTCGAGCATAGCTGCAACAACTGCAAGATTAATAACACATCCTCGTACGTTTTTGTGATGAAATATTTTTGTTATGAAGAAATTCAAATTTTTTTTTTTTTTAATTTAATCTTACCCTTTTCGCCCCAGTTGACACAATTCGCGTCCTTCTTCAAACCGATACAACATATACGCTTACCCGTAAATCAAGTAGTCCATTTATTCAATTAATCCGAAAGACACCATTTAAAAGTTACTATAATGGACTTGCAATAGCAACGACTTTAGGAATACCTGCTTTATCATCATACCTTTTCGTCTATGATAAAGCAAAATATTATTTATCAAGCAGATTAAATGTTAGTGATACCAGTACTTTGAATTACATGTTGAGTGGAGCCATGGCAGAAACATGTAGTGGCATATTTTGGACACCGATGGAAGTGTTAAAAAGCAAATTACAATCTCGTAATGGGATTAATACATTACAAATGTCAAAGTTGATTTTAAAAAATGAAGGAATTAGAGGGTTCTTTCGTGGATATTTATTAACTCTAGCGGTTTACGTACCACACACAATGATTTACTTTGTTGTATATGAAAAGTGTAAAACCTGGTCCAAAGATAGGGAAATATTAACTAGCAACCGTGATTATGTAATATTTTCGGCAATTGCATGCACGATTGCAGGTTCTGTTTCGAACGTGTTGGATATTGTAAAAACCAGGTGGCAAGTTTCTTATGGCAAGGAGGTTGACGGTGTCAATGCGAAATCACCTTTAGAGATTATGAAAAATATGTATAGGAACGAAGGAGGATTACGTGCTTTTACTAAAGGCATGGGGGCTAGAGTGATATGGATGGTGCCAAGTGCCTCCATTAGCATGACATTATATGAGATTCTAAAGAATAAAAAGGGTTACATTGAAAATTATTAATTTGTGAAGATTTTTGTTTTTGTTTTTAAAAGAATGTTTTTCTTCTTCTTCTGTAATTGATGGGTTTACGTGTCAAAAAAATTCTCATTACGTTTAGGAAAATGCAAACATTTTCAAATTATAATTTTCTCGCGTTTTTTATTCGACTAAAGAATTCCCAAGTATTACACTAATGCAGATCTTAATTAAACGATCCTAATAAAGCAATTAAATAAATTAAACCGCTCATATGTGGCAAATTATGATTTATAAATGTAAAACAACTAAATTTCCTAGTTACGTTAAAAAGAGACCAGTCTCGTTCTTTATTATGAATTTATACCTTTGACTATTACTTAATAAACTTTCTTGAATTCGAATGAGGCATTTTTAAATTTACAATGAACGAAAAAAAAAAAAAGAATACTGAAATACTGTATATTATTATAACAAATTTCATAATGTTTGAACTATTAAGATTTCACATTCTATAGAGTTCTTATCGTTATTAATATTAACCATTATTACATTAATATAACATTTAATTAAAGAAGCGACATTTTAAGTAGAATAAAAAACTTTCATAAAATTATAGGTGAATATAAATTTAACTGTTATCTTGACCGCCGTGAAACGGTGGGAGATTTTTTCCGTATCGAGTGACCTCCATATCACTATTTTATAATAATACAAAGTTCATCCATTAATATTAATCCTTTCATATAAATCAGTTGATATGATAGTTAATGTACTTACTTTTCGTCTTTTTTTGCTGGCATACTATTGACCAAGGTCATAGAATAAAAAATTGTCAAGAAAAATACGATAACCAAGAGACTTTGAGATTTCATTTTCGAAGACGTTCAATTATTGAATTATTTGAAATTTTTGGAATTAAGATTTTTTGTTTTTTTTTTTTTTCTCTGATCATACAAAGAGGTATGTTTTATATATCTTCAACAAAATTTTTTTTCGAGGGTATTAATGAATTTTTTATCGGGAAATGGTCTAAATTGATTCTTCCCGTTTTTTATTGTTGTTCATTATAGGGATTTATCCGCCATTTATCAAAATCCTTTTTCATATAAACAAAAAAAAAGATAACTTTTGAAATCTATTATTAATGCATTAATGCATCATCAAAATACATTTCGTGCAGCAATGTATATATATCAAGGGGTTTGTTTTTCTCAATTCAAAGAAATTTAAAAAGTACCGTCTCACCTTTAATCGAGTTCCTGAGCTTATTTCATCCTACGAATAATGCGCCTTTTTAAAAAAAAAAAAAAAAAGATATCACAAGATCACGAGTTAAAAACATGCAATTAATACATTATTATTTTTATGGTTTTCCCTTAAAAGTAATTACGGGTTAAATGGACTACAATTGAGGTTATTAATTAATTCCGATTTCCTCCTTAGGTTAACATTAGAACAATTGAATTAATCTTCTGGTCACAAAATATAAAGGAAGTTGCGATCGTTTAATTTGGTACAACGTTTCTTCAATATCCTAACCCTGAATTCCCTAATCCCATCGGAACTGACCGAAAACTTCTAAAAGATCGTATTTTCAATTTAATTTGTGTTCCAAATTTGTACCTTTATAAGAAAGAATTATAATTTTTTCAATGAAAAAAAGTGATTCTTTAAAACAATTGTCTTAATTTCGTCATGAATACTGCTCAACAAACTAACGGAAAAGTCGCCATCGTTACCGGTAAATAAAAATGTGATATCCCCTAATCTTTATTTACACGTCAATAACATTAACAAAATAATTATTAAATTTAGGTGCATCATCCGGAATTGGTCGTGGTAAATATGATATTTATGATGAAATGAACTTTTTTATTTATATGTTTCGCTACATTAATAATATATCTGAAAATTATTTAGCAATTGCGATTCGACTAGTAAAAGAAGGGTGAATACTTACTATTATCATAGATATTCCTTATATAAATAAATTCATGAAATTTCCATTTTAGGGCCAAAGTCGTTATTGCTGATGTTAGCGAAGATGCTGGCAAGATGCTTGCAAATGAACTTAACACCAAGTAAAAAAAATTTTTCTTCTTAAATAAATTTGATAAAATCATTTAAAAATCATTTATTTTCATATACGTAATAAAATAGTAAATCGGAAAAGATTGCAATATTTCATAAAACTGATGTAAGTAAATGGAAGGAATTGATCAGCTTATTCGACAAAACTAAAGAAACTTTCGGAAAAATTGATGTAGGTTTAGATAAAGTAAAGATTTTTTATTTCCAAATAAATAAATATATATATATATATATATAATATAAATATTTCGCTATTTTTCTTTTTAAAAGATTGTGATTAATAACGCTGGTATTGTTGGACAACTATATGGAATGCTGGATGATTCATTAGAAGGTTTGAATAGAACAATATATAAAGAAATATATATATGATCCGTAAATAGCATCATAATATAATAATATGTGAATTTATTTATACAGAACCTGATTTTGCAAGAATTTTAAATGTTGACCTTTTGGGTGTAACTTATGGTAAAGCTATTCATTAGACGAGACGATTACTGATATCTTAATTCTGCCCTTTTTTTTAATTTAAATTTAATTTTTTTATAGGAACTAAACTTGCATTTCAATATATGAAACAAAACGACCCACAAGGAGGTGTTGTAATTAACACTTCTTCTGTTGCAGCATTTCATCCAACATTTAATGTTGCGGTTTATGCAGCCGCAAAAGCTGGTGTAAGTGTATATACATTTATACTCTATTTCTCCTATATTTTTTTACTTAATTATTTATTCTCCCTTTTTAGGTTGTTAATCTAACTAGATCAATGGCACAAATTAGTCAATTATTCGGTATTACTGTTAATGCTGTATGTCCAAGTGTTACTGGTATGTATAGATATGTTTAGGTAAATATTAAAGCCCAATTTCCTTATTTTTAATCGTTAAATTTTTAGAATCGGGATTGACATCTCATTCAATTGGTATACTTCCTGAGAATTGGTGGTCATCCGTTAATTTTGTTGTTGACGCATGTTTTAAATGTATTTATGATCCAAAAACAAATGGTAATATATACCGTATTTATATTATTCTTTTGTGTGTTTGTTTCTTTTGTTTAAAGAAAAATATTTTCTTTATAATGATATTTTTAAATTTTCTTTTAGGAACTATTTTTACGGTTTGGTATGAAGGAATAAAAGAAGAGAGTTTTGAGAATTATCATCCTGTATTTCAAGCAATGTTACAAGGACAACGTCAAAGTTATCTAAAATCTTTAGAAAACAAATAAATTAAATACGTGTTAATTAATAATTTTTTTAAAAAAATTCATATTTGTAGTTTAAACTAAAAATTAATAATTCAATCAATTTTAACAAATTCTATTAAAGATTTTATAACAATAATAAAAAATAGATAAAAAATTAATTTATTAAGTATATTTTTTTTTTATTTTTACACCAATTCCAATTTATTTGATACAATTTTAGCATTATATATATAAAAATAGTTGTATTAATTTTCTTTTCTAACAAAAATCATCTGGATAATTTTACTCATAAAATAATTTAATAAATCAAATGATTTCTTTCAGGTAAAAATCATTCAAATAGTTTTACTTATAAATAATTTCAATAAAAAAATTAAAATTTAGCACATAATATTGAATTTTATTTTATATTATTAAGATTTATGATAAAAAAAAATATTAAACATTTTAAATATTAGAATAACATAAAGTATAATACAATCAACTTTCTATAAATGCACCCTTCTTAGAACTAAATATTAACAAGCATTTATAAAGGGTATGCATTTATAGAAAATATGTTTTTAAAAAATTTTATATTATATTTATTAAAAAATAAATTCAAAAAACATTGTTTTTATTATATGTATTTTAATAATTATTATTAATTAAAATATTGATTTATAGTAATTTGTTACATTAAATTTAATTTTTTCTTTTTAATAAATTTTTCAATTATATTAACTAATTTTATATATTCATTTGAATTTTCTTATTAAAGAAGAAATGTATAAATATTTTTTAAACTTTTTAATGCTACATTATTACTAATAATTAAAACCTTTGTACTATAATCCATTTCATTAATATCATTAATATCATTAATGTTTTTTTCATTAGATTTTTTAAAAGTATTTACAAGAGCTACTATAATTTGATCATCTTTAAGATCTTTAAAAATAATTCTTCAGAAATAGTAAAAATTCTTTTACTTTCATTACATTAAGAAGATGAAGAACTTTAAATATATCATAAAATTCTTTAAGTATTAAATCATCAGTTTCATTATCTAATTCAATATCAGAATCAAAAGAAAGAATTTTAGTATAATGCTAACAATTTTGAATTATTTTAGTTATTACTTTCTTTTAACCTTAAATAATATATTGAATTATTTGTAAAACATTTATTTTTAGATTTTGTATATCTTGATCTACCTCAACTTGTTCTAATATCTAATTAAAAAAAAATATGTATTATTAAAATATTTAATATAATTTATTTAATTAAAATTTATTGAATATGATATTGATGATAATGTCTTTTAAAAAACATAATAATTTTAGCATCTATTAGTTGAATTTTAGAAGTTGTATTAGATAATAAAAAATAAATTTCAATATACGAAAGATTATAAATTTTGTATTTATGACTTAGACAATTATCAAATAATAATAATATATGTTAACCATTATGTTTATGAGTAACTTGATATTCAAATTCTTAAAGCTATTTTTAAAATAAAATTATAAGTATCTATGCTTTCAGATTACTTTAATATGTTATTTTAAGATTAAAGATATTAATGTTTTTAAACAATTTAGCTTAGCAAACTTTCTAATAATTAAAGAAGGTAGCTATGTGAATTATTAGCATTTATATATAAATTAATAAAAAGACATTCCTTATTTTTTTATGTTTAGAAAAATATTTTATAATCAAGTTTTATTCAGTTCTAATCTATATTCAAAAAAAAAGTTCGGTTTTATTTATATTGTAAATTTATTCAAGTAGATAACTAAACATATTTATTATATAATAATGATAATACTTTAGTAATAATATCTTGATTAACAGATGCTATTTCCCTTTGAAACTTTTCTTGATAGATACTATTTCATTTTTTAAATCTATGAAGCTAACTAGAAGAAAATTTTAAAGTCTTTTCAGAAATTTTCAATCTATTTGCCAATAATTTAGCTTTTTTAATTAATATTATATCATTTAATATTACTTTATACTGATAATTTAAAACAATTTTTTTTAAAAGCAAGTTCAAATTTAGAAAAGGTAACCAACTTGTTTCATTTTTACTCTAGATAAATAACTTCTATTCTATTTGAACTTTTTAAATTTATATTATCATAGTTAATAAGTAAAGTAAAAAATTATATAAACAAATTTTGGCAAGAATTGCTCATCAGTGATTTACATAGATTCTAATATCCATCTTATTAGATCTTGCAATTCTTTATGCTTATCCAACTATTCTTCATAATTAATATTATCCAAAATCTCATTTATGTTAATTTTCAATTCTTCATTTTGGATAAATTCTTTACAGACTTTTATTATATCATAATTCTGTTCTAACTTATATTTTGAAATGGCTTCTTAAAAATATCAGAAACTGATTCAGATATATTTGTAAAGGATTCTGACTTAATATCTAAAATACCTGAACAAATCAGATAATTAAATCCAAGGTTCTTCACATTTATTTCTTCAAATTTTGTTTC